TACTATACAGTATGTAGTAGGCGGTTTCGGACGAAACCTTACTTTTCAGAAAAATTAAGATGACAATGGGAAATGACGCTCTGGCTGCCAGCAGTCAGCTGTGATATACCCACTGACATCAAAATAACCCTCACCAGGCCCACCATTGTTAAATATTTCACTCCGGCTCCTTCCCACAGTCCAAAAGACATGCAGCTTAGGTTGACTGGTGACTCAAAATTGCCGGTAGACGTGAGTGAGTGTGGGTGTGTGTAATTGTTTGTCTATATGTCAGCCCTGTCATAAATTGGTGACCTATCCAGGGTGTACCCTGCTTCTCACCCACTGTCAGCTGAGATAGGTCAATGTCAGCTCATCCCACTACCCCAATCAGGATAAGCGGCATAGATAATGGATGGATAGTTAAGATTCTCGATTCATACTCTTGGGGGCGGTAAAGCACCATTCTGTTGTTCGTCAACTGACGTAAAACTCCGACAAGAAGAAGAGGAAGCAGAAGAAGAAGAAGAAGTAGGAGGGATGCGACGGGACAGAGAGCGAGCGCCAGAGAGGGGGGGCATTGCTATTGCTGGGACACACGAAACATTTGGACAGTCTTATCAGCTTTATCGAGTGGGACTGAATTATAGTTCAACGACTGTGCAGTCAAGGTACTGTGGAATATTTATCCTAACCATACTATAATTGCTTGTTCGTGTATTTAAATGTGTGAATGTCGGGCTTACTAAATGTTCAAACCTCGTCTTTAGATTCATTTTACAGTGGCAGTTTTATTTAACACTGCCATTTAGATAACATAATACGTTAAATTAGAAGAAAAGGCGTAAACACTAACCTATATTTTGCTTTGTAAAATGTTTCGAAACTCTTTACTTTCGTTTATGTACTCCTTTTGAGTTAAGTTTCGTTTCTCTCTCGCAGTCTTGTCGTCATGGCCGACGTGGAGGAGAGTCAGTTTTCTCTGCTGAGCCTGGAGGATGACCTGACCTGCAGCATCTGTCTCAGCACCTTTGTCTGTCCGGTGACCATCCCGTGCGGACACAACTTCTGCCAGGACTGCCTCCTCGTCAGCTGGAAGGACTCCTACAGCTGTCCTCAGTGTCGGACAATCTTTGCCACCAAACCGGAGCTGAAGAAGAACACGGTCCTCAGCACCGTGGTGGAGACCTTCAGGGAGAGGACGAACAAGAGCGAAGCCAGCCTGCTTGGAGAGGAGAAACAAGCCGAGAAAAAGGATGTCATTCGCTGTGACACATGTATGGAAACAGAGGCGTCCCAGACCTGCCTCACCTGCATGGCCTCCTTCTGTGACGAGCACCTGCGGCCTCACCGGGAAAACCCAATTTTCCGCCTCCACCAGCTGAGTGAGCCTGTCGGTGACCTGTCGGAGCGCATCTGCCCGGACCACCACAAACTGATGGAGCTGTTCTGCAGTCAACATGGCCGTCCAATCTGCAGCCTGTGTCTCCAGCAGGTCCACAAAGGCTGCACCTTCGTTTCTCCCGAGGAGCAGAGGAACCAGAAAGAGGTGAGCTGTGTTATTTACCCTTAGTGGTACGTAGCCATGTTGGTAAGTTAGGCTGCACTTTGTCCACTTCTGGACATCTATACCCAGTACGTTTACAGCCAAAAGATTGGACACAACCTCCACATTCAGTTCAGTGACAAAGTGTGGCCAAAGTTTTAACTAGTTGTGTACATACTATATATCCACCTCTAGAGCTTCTGAAATTGTGTTTGTGGTGCTCACAGAACAACAGTCACAGAGGTTTATCACTAACTTGTCTTCCAGAAACAGCATCACTGTTAATCTATCCAACCCACAGAACATGTTGTCAGTTCCCATAGGAACTGTCCACAGACGTAACTGGGCAGGATACAAGTTGTGAGCGCTTGCTGGGACTACTTTTTCAGTCACTGTGAAGTAACTGTCTGTGAACTGTATCCCTGCTTGGATGAACTCACTGTTTCTCTGTTTGTAGTCCGACCTGAGAATCAAGTTGGCTTTTCTGGATGGGAAGATAATGAAGAATGAGACTGTTATATCTCAAATGAGAGATGCACAGGACAAGCTGAAGGTATGTCTATAAACCTACTGTACTCTAAACCACAAACAGTAGAATTCTTGTTCATCTGTAGTCCACAATATCAAGGTTACAAGGGATGTGAGTGCTGAACGTTTTAACCCCGTGCCGTCATTTCATTACACTACACCCAAATTTCCTAAACCTTCATCGACTCTTCTAATGATGCGGAATTAAAATGAAGCTGTCCAATGTTCTCTAAACATTGAGTTTAACATCAAAATCTATTTGCCCCTCAGTAACTAATAAGCAATCACTGCAGATAAACAAAGCAAGTACACCACTGTCAGGTGTATTACTTGTACTTGATCGTCATTTTTTGGTGGTGTGATGTTAAACAAATATTCAGTCACAGTATATTTATGCTGCCTTGAGAACTCGCTTTTATCAACAGTGCCTGTCTGGTGTCAGTCAAAACAGACTAATTACTGAGCATCAAAGTTAAAAATCTTAAATTGGCATTAAGAAGTTTACCTTTTTCATCATCTGATATTTCATGATTTAGATCAGGACATTTTTCTATCAACAGATTTATTTAGGCAAACTCCTGTGTAACCAGGTTTTCTCCCATTTGAACACAAAACAACTGGTGTTTAACTCAACATGTCTCACTTGCTGAACATTAAAAATTGATTAGGAAAAGTTTTAATTCCAGCATAGTTGTATTTTCTGTTATTTTATTTAGTTTGACCTATGGAGATATCCTGTCTCGTTGCTGATCTATTATGGATCCTCTCACGGTCCTTCTCTAGGCCTCAACGACCAACAGGAAGAAAGCTGTGGCAGCCGAGTATCAGCACATACGGGACATGTTGATGCAAGAGGAGCGTGATGCTCTGAATGCAGTGGACCAGGAGATGGAGAGTGGTCAGACCAAATTCAAGACTTGCATGAAGAAGTTCTCTGAGAACATTGATAATATGAGCAAAGCTAAAGCAGATATCCACAGTCTGCTGCGTCGCTCCCAAACGCAAGCCTTCCTGCAGGTGAGATGACCGTGCTTATCAGCCCACACACCACACTGCATTACAACACCATGACTGTACAACTTAGCTGTCAGCAGTAACAGGGTACACACCCACTGCTGTCAAAGTTTGTTATAAAAGCTTTGCAGTAACATGTTTGCAAGTGCTAGCACAGCTAACATTCTAACAGCTAGCCTGTCCTATCAACTGCACCTCAACTTCCCTCTAGATCTGGCTCCGTTTTAGAAATAGCCTCCTTCTGTGACGAGCACCTGCGGCCTCACCGGGAAAACCCAATTTTCCGCCTCCACCAGCTGAGTGAGCCTGTCGGTGACCTGTCGGAGCGCATCTGCCCGGACCACCACAAACTGATGGAGCTGTTCTGCAGTCAACATGGCCGTCCAATCTGCAGCCTGTGTCTCCAGCAGGTCCACAAAGGCTGCACCTTCGTTTCTCCCGAGGAGCAGAGGAACCAGAAAGAGGTGAGCTGTGTTATTTACCCTTAGTGGTACGTAGCCATGTTGGTAAGTTAGGCTGCACTTTGTCCACTTCTGGACATCTATACCCAGTACGTTTACAGCCAAAAGATTGGACACAACCTCCACATTCAGTTCAGTGACAAAGTGTGGCCAAAGTTTTAACTAGTTGTGTACATACTATATATCCACCTCTAGAGCTTCTGAAATTGTGTTTGTGGTGCTCACAGAACAACAGTCACAGAGGTTTATCACTAACTTGTCTTCCAGAAACAGCATCACTGTTAATCTATCCAACCCACAGAACATGTTGTCAGTTCCCATAGGAACTGTCCACAGACGTAACTGGGCAGGATACAAGTTGTGAGCGCTTGCTGGGACTACTTTTTCAGTCACTGTGAAGTAACTGTCTGTGAAGTAACTGTCTGTGAACTGTATCCCTGCTTGGATGAACTCACTGTTTCTCTGTTTGTAGTCCGACCTGAGAATCAAGTTGGCTTTTCTGGATGGGAAGATAATGAAGAATGAGACTGTTATATCTCAAATGAGAGATGCACAGGACAAGCTGAAGGTATGTCTATAAACCTACTGTACTCTAAACCACAAACAGTAGAATTCTTGTTCATCTGTAGTCCACAATATCAAGGTTACAAGGGATGTGAGTGCTGAACGTTTTAACCCCGTGCCGTCATTTCATTACACTACACCCAAATTTCCTAAACCTTCATCGACTCTTCTAATGATGCGGAATTAAAATGAAGCTGTCCAATGTTCTCTAAACATTGAGTTTAACATCAAAATCTATTTGCCCCTCAGTAACTAATAAGCAATCACTGCAGATAAACAAAGCAAGTACACCACTGTCAGGTGTATTACTTGTACTTGATCGTCATTTTTTGGTGGTGTGATGTTAAACAAATATTCAGTCACAGTATATTTATGCTGCCTTGAGAACTCGCTTTTATCAACAGTGCCTGTCTGGTGTCAGTCAAAACAGACTAATTACTGAGCATCAAAGTTAAAAATCTTAAATTGGCATTAAGAAGTTTACCTTTTTCATCATCTGATATTTCATGATTTAGATCAGGACATTTTTCTATCAACAGATTTATTTAGGCAAACTCCTGTGTAACCAGGTTTTCTCCCATTTGAACACAAAACAACTGGTGTTTAACTCAACATGTCTCACTTGCTGAACATTAAAAATTGATTAGGAAAAGTTTTAATTCCAGCATAGTTGTATTTTCTGAAAGCACTGAAAACCCTGTTGCCATTTCCGACATCCTATCTGTGTGAAGCGGGTTTTTCTGCAGTGACAGCAACCAAAACAAAACAACGGAGTAGACTGAACATAAGCAACACACTTCGGGTGTCATTGTCTCCTATTACCCCCACATGGGACCATCTCGTTTCAGAGAAACAAGTTCAGGGCTCCCATTGATTTAGCGTTATGGGGAGTTAAAAATTTCAACACAGTGGATTCATGTTTATTATTATATTAACAATATAAACAATCTACGTAACCCCCCCTGCCCCCCGGGCCGCGGTAAAATTGTCAAGCGTTGACCGGTCTGCAGTGATTAAAAAGGTTGGGGACCACTGCTCTAAACCACATAAACAGTAGAATTCTTGTTCATTTGCAGTCCACAATATCAAGGTTACAAGGGATGTGAGTGTCTCCAATAGGCCATGCAATGTTCTCTAAACATTGAGTTTAACATCAAAATCTATTTGCCCCTCAGTAACTAATAAGCCATCACTGCAGATAAACAAAGCAAGTACACCACTGTCAGGTGTATTACTTGTACTTGATCGTCATTTTTTGGTGGTGTGATGTTAAACAAATATTCAGTCACAGTATATTTATGCTGCCTTGAGAACTCGCTTTTATCAACAGTGCCTGTCTGGTGTCAGTCAAAACAGACTGAATTACTGAGCATCAAAGTTAAGAATCTTAAATTGGCATTAAGAAGTTTACATTTTTTCTTCATCTGATATTTCATGATTTAGATCAGGGCATTTTTCTATCAACAGATTTATTTAGGCAAACTCCTGTGTAACCAGGTCTTCTCCCATTTGAACACAAAACAACTGGTGTTTAACTCAACATGTCTCACTTGCTGAACATTAAAAAATGATTAGGAAAAGTTTTAATTCCAGCATAGTTGTATTTTCTGTTATTTTATTTAGTCTGACCTATGGAGATATCCTGTCTCATTGCTGATCTATTTATGGATCCTCTCACGGTCCTTCTCTAGGCCTCAACGACCAACAGGAAGAAAGCTGTGGCAGCCGAGGATCAGCACATACGGGACATGTTGATGCAAGAGGAGCGGGATGCTCTGAATGCAGTGGACCAGGAGATGGAGAGTGGTCAGACCAAATTCAAGACTTGCATGAAGAAGTTCTCTGAGAACATTGATAATATGAGCAAAGCTAAAGCAGATATCCACAGTCTGCTGCGTCGCTCCCAAACACAAGCCTTCCTGCAGGTGAGATGACTGTGCTTATCAGCCCACACACCACACTGCATTACAACACCATGACTGTACAACTTAGCTGTCAGCAGTAACAGGGTACACACCCACTGCTGTCAAAGTTTGTTATAAAAGCTTTGCAGTAACATGTTTGCAAGTGCTAGCACAGCTAACATTCTAACAGCTAGCCTGTCCCATCATCATTTCAGTTATCAACTGCACCTCAACTTCCCTCTAGATCTGGCTCCGTTTTAGAAATAAATAAATTGTAACGCTAATTGTCCTCCCTTGTGCCATGCATTACCAAGCTACTGTTAGCTAAGGTATCTGCAAATATACCAAGATGCTTGCTGCACACACAGACATAGCAAGTGTCAGGATCCCTGTTTCTGCGTTGTTCCTGCTAATGCACATTCCAATATCCAGTACATTTTTTGCCTCATTTGATCCATAATGGAAAATAATATCACTTTATTGGGACAGGTGTGAATACAATTTTGATCAGTCATAGAAAACAGCATTATGTTCCTCCTCTCACAGGCTTCATATGACCTGCCCGTAGCCGCCAGCGTTGACCCTTACACCCCTCGGATCAGCCTGGACTCCAAGAAGGTGAAAGCTTCCCAGGCCTTTGCTGTTGCTCTGAAGGAGCTTCTGACAGAGGTCCTTAAACGGCCTGTTGAGGCCAGACTACCAATAATTAAACCAGGTAAATATGCAGGCACATTTACATGTTGGAAATAATAGAGTTGAAGATTCATTAAGAAAGTCAAGTAAAGTCAGTCATGTCCAATTTTATTGCAGAAATTAACACTGACATTACATCTGGTGAGTCCGTGTCTTGTGTGAACTGGTGTGAACAAAAATCAAAAGAATGATCCAAAAACATTCCTCAAATTGATGCTGAATTGTGTAGCGGTGAGGTAACTGTTTAAAGTCATGTGGATAAAATAAAGAGACGATTGCAGCATGTTGATTGTGTGGCATGTTCTCAGGTGAAAGAGCACCTTCTGCCTCAGGATTTACACCTTTCAGCACTAGACCTAATCAGGAATCTGGTATGTACATCTGTCTTACACATGTGCTTTATGGAAAAAAAAAACCAAAAAAACACAGACTAGGATTTTCTAACATGACTTTGGCTGATTGCTGTTTCAGAGCCGCTCCCCAGGTCCCACAGTCCAGGTCCCGGTTCTCAGCCCAGAGTGGTCCCAAAGAAAAAAGCTCGAAGTAAGAAAGTGTACTCTGTCAGCTTCTTGCTATAATCAGTATGGTCCTGCACAGACACAAACTGTCTGTCAGCAGTTTTTGTTTTATCACATGAGAAAAAGGTGCTATCACACCACCAGCTGTCACTTCACCTACCAGTTTAGCAACATCTGCATAATAATGTGATGTCAGTTGCTGGGTTATTTGTCCTGATAATCAAATCTGATAAGACCACACCAAATTAATCTTAATGATGATGCATATTAGTCCATTAGTTTTTGACTGTTAAACTCTTAATTTTTTGCATTCTGATTGTTGCTTATCTTGTGATGAATACTTAATGTTAAAAAGAAACAATTCCGTTTTGAAACAAAGTATTTAGGGGCTTGAACAGCTCTTCAGAGTTTTCACTTGTAAAATAAACTTTTTTATTTTTATTTTTTTTAGAGAGAACCAAAAAACCTGCCCAGTCCCCTGAAGGCAAAATGGGAAATGAAGCTCTAGCCCTTTCAATGGAAATCATGTTGGACTTTGGTTTTAAAAACAACCCCAGCAACTGTCCGCCTGCAGCTCAACCCTGTCAGACACCAGGTAGACACCATATACAGTACACCGGGCAAATAACATACACAGCAATAGTAACATCTGAAGATGGTGTTTTTATTGTTTTTGTTAAGTAAGAGTACTCCACTGATTTAGTGTTTCATTCCTACAACACTGTCAGGCTCCTCGTGAAAACTTTAACAAAAGGATCAAAATCAGTGCAGCAGAAGTATTTTCTTAGTCCCGTGCACTATTCCTCCTGCTCAGTCCCTGGCTCCTAATGTGGCATTGAACCTCAAGCAAATGAGGAGTGGCCTCCAGGGGTCCGGTGTGCACTTATCTTCCTAATGCCACACCTCCAGATTTAAACAGATTTTTGATGTGTAAAATCTGTTGTGTTCTTCTATTTTTAAAGCTTTCATCTGTTATCTCTGAGTCTGCTGTCATACTGTCTTCTTGTCTTGTAGGCACATCTGACATTGTGCCAAACATAACATCTGCTGAAAAAAGAAATGAACTTCTCAAATGTAAGTGTTGTAGGTGCCACACCCACATTAGGTTATAGCAACCATGTTTGTTATTTGAATGGTCTTTCCTTCTGCTGTACCCCCTAGACGGCACAGTGCTCACTTTGGATCCAAGAACAGCCCACAGACGCATCCTACTGACTGAGGGCTTCACTAAGGCCTCTGTGTCCGATGAGCACGTAAACTACGCCGACTGCCCTGAACGGTTCGCCGTCTGCTCCCAGGTGCTCACCACCAAGGGTTTCTCTAGAGGACGCCACTACTGGGAAGTCCGACTGAGCAGCAGCAACTTCATTGGCATAGGCTTGGCTTATGGCAGCATTGACCGCAAAGGTCCCGCTAGTCGACTGGGCCGTAACGCCCAGTCCTGGTGTGTCGAGTGGTTTAATGTCAAGCTGTCAGCTTGGCATAACAGCAGTGAGACCGTGCTGGTCAATCCCAATCCAAAGCGTGTAGGAGTGCTTTTGGATTGTGAGGACGGTCTGGCCACGTTCTATAACGTGGCAGACAGGGCCTATCCCTTCCACTCTTTTGTGTTCCCTTTTGCTGAAACTGTGTATCCAGCTTTCTTGGTTTTCTCAAGTGGCTCATCCATTTCTTTGTGCAAACTGCAGGCATGAGGAGCATATGCACATAGATGTGCATGTGCAGGAATACACACACACATAGAATCAGTTCTTTGCACTCATACTAACAATAATAATGAAAAAGAATGCTTTAGTTGTAACTTTAATGAGCCCTAAACTGTCTTAAAATGTAAAGGTTTTTCACATCAAGAGGCTGGCCAGATAGACCCCGGTACTGTGTGCTGCAGTACACAGGCAGCTGGAAGCATCTTGACTGAAAAGGATGTTGAGCTAATGGCATTTCATAGCTAATGTGATTAGCTTGTTGCCATTAGTGCTGCCAGCTCTGATTTTTAGCAGCTGAATTAGTGGCTATGTGACCACAACAGTGATGCTTACAGAGCTTCGGCCTTTGCAGGTTTCTCAAAACTCAAGAGATTGTGATGCATTTGCCGAGCGATTTTTAACAGAACACACAACATACACTATAACATGTTTGCTGTGTGTGTGTGTCCTGCGCAGATAATCGATTTATATATGGTAGAATGGTTGGGAATGCAACTGACTGGATAAAGAAGTGAAGTTATCACTTCTAGACATGTCAGTACTATATTTTGATATATGAGAATATATGAGAAATGTACTATTTTGGAGTGTGGCGATAAAGGTTTTAGGGCTGGGTGATGTGACATTTGATCTCAGTAACTATTTTCATTCCAGTTGATATTGTCGTGTGTCATGATGTGATCATTTCTGCTGACCTGAAACCTAAAATTCCCTAATAGTAGCTTCAGATTATGAAAACGACTAGGAACTATAGAGGCTCTAAACAGCAAGAATAAATCTTAAATGTGGTCAGTATGAATCCTTGAAAGTCGCTCATGTACTGTAAACTCGTTTTCACTGTGAGTGCTCACTGATACTCGAAAGGTTTTCTCTGTTTATCCAACTTTTGATACCACAACAATAGCAGCCACTGTGTGTATAGCTAACTCGGCTCACCCTGTTTGTGCGTTTTGTTCTTCCCTGAAGAAGTGCCGCGTGATTGGCTAGAAATAGCTTTGTTTCTGTGATGTGTTTGGCTTTTCAGTGTGCATTGTAGACACTGTATTGAAGTGTCTTATTCTCACAGCAGGGACATTTTATTGAGATTGATGACTATATCACCCAGCCCTATATGCTCACTTCCTCACTGCTTTGACTGGTTCAGCTGATGAGAACAGAAGCCACATAGACTCTGTCTTATCAAGGTCTGACAGTCTCGCTCTCTCTCTCTCTTGCTTTTCTTTGGATTGTTTTTATGGCACTTTGGAGCCAGGAATTAATGGGGAGAAAGGAAAGGGGATGGCATGCTACTGTGGTGGCCAGATTTTAATCTGAGATGCCATACTTGCATGGTATGCCTCACGGAAATAAAATACTGTATCTGTGGCAGGCACATTAAACCAAGGAGCCATCAGAATGCTCTGCTGACTTTGCAGTGGCTGGTCTGGCGGTAATAAGTTAGTTTCACAGGGGCAAATTATTTGTTATACAAAGTTTACCCCAGTTTGTAAGATGTTTGCTGAAGCACACTGATGACATTAGATACAGTGGCTTTTCCCTGATGGGGCACCACTGCAGTGCATCAGTGCCTGGTCAGTGTGCATACTAATCAGGCTCTATCAGACTTACCATGAGGGTGCTCATCTTGCAGGTGATAAAAGATGTGAAACAACAAATCATACACGAGTGTCTAGAAGTAAATATCTGTCTACACAATATATTGTACATGAACAGTAAAGTTAGCAGTTTTAACATGGTTCTCTATACTAACTTCACTGCATGAGGTACAGAAGACAGTGGTGTTCAGAGTGACTTGACTGATAAGCTAGTAAAGGTTCGGACGTGACTGCTGCAGTGAATTCATTGGTTAACCATCGGGTAGATGAAGAAAGGCCCTGTGAGGCATTCAGCTAATGCACTACAAGTATAGACCTCTTTCTTTGTTTTAGCTTAGATGCTGGTAATTACAGGCGCCATGCAGCAGTGCACAGAACGTCTGAGCCTAACTGGTGATCTGCTGTTTTCACCGTTTGCTGTGGCTTCTCATCAGATTGTGGAGTTTTGGTTTGGGACGGAACCTTGTGAAAATATTGAGAGCTTTCCCATACCATGATGAGTGTCCAGATCTCGATATTGTGTTGACATTTATTTACTCTACCAAGCACAAATGACAGAATACTGGTGTCTATGCTTAGTTGGATCAGTGAAAAGTTAGGTGTATTTCATGTAACGACTGACTTGATTGCTTATTGCTTCAGTTCATACTAGATCGCCTGCAGACTCAAATGGCTCTCAGACCAATGTGTTTTTGTTCAGTGTTGCAACTGAAATGTGATTCATTGTTCTTTGCATCAAATATTTTCAAGCTTTGTGGGATCTTATCCAAACTGCTTCACTCTGTCAAAAAAAGAATGTCAAGTTCTAGTTGATGGACAGTAATATTCCAGGTTTGTGGTGGTGGTATTCATTCACACATTAAAAGTGAACATATTTATATGATTGTCTTAAAATTCAAAAGATTACTACTGTTTTGTTTAATTATAAAATCAGCTTTTATTTTTAATTAACTAATGATTGTTATGAATAAGTTTCTCTGACCTGACCCATCCAGTCTCATGATGTGGACTTTCTAAATGAAGAATTTTTATTATTGTTCATTTTGGCTAATTGTCCTCCCTTGTGCCATGCGTTACCAAGCTACTGTTAGCTAAGGTATCTGCAAATATACCAAGATGGTTGTTGCACACACAGACATAGCAAGTGTCAGGATCCCTGTTTCTGCGTTGTTCCTGCTAATGCACGTTCCAATATCAAGTACATTTTTTGCCTCATTTGATCCATTATGGAAAATAAAATCACTTTATTGGGACAGGTGTGAATACAACTTTGATCAGTCATAGAAAACAGCATTATGTTCCTCCTCTCACAGGCTTCATATGACCTGCCCGTAGCCGCCAGCTTTGACCCTTATACCCCTCGGATCAGCCTGGACTCCAAGAAGGTGAAAGCTTCCCAGGCCTTTGCTGTTGCTCTGAAGGAGCTTCTGACAGAGGTCCTTAAACGGCCTGTTGAGGCCAGACTACCAATAATTAAACCAGGTAAATATGCAGGCACATTTACATGTTGGAAATAATAGAGTTGAAGATTCATTAAGAAAGTCAAGTAAAGTCAGTCATGTCCAATTTTATTGCAGAAATTAACACTGACATTACATCTGGTGAGTCCGTGTCTTGTGTGAACTGGTGTGAACAAAAATCAAAAGAATGATCCAAAAACATTCCTCAAATTGATGCTGAATTGTGTAGCGGTGAGGTAACTGTTTAAAGTCATGTGGATAAAATAAAGAGACGATTGCAGCATGTTGATTGTGTGGCATGTTCTCAGGTGAAAGAGCACCTTCTGCCTCAGGATTTACACCTTTCAGCACTAGACCTAATAAGGAATCTGGTATGTGCATCTGTCTTACGCATGTGCTTTATGGAAAAAAAAAACAAAAAAACACAGACTAGGATTTTCTAACACGACTTTGGCTGATTGCTGTTTCAGAGCCGCTCCCCAGGTCCCACAGTCCAGGTCCCGGTTCTCAGCCCAGAGTGGTCCCAAAGAAAAAAGCTCCAAGTAAGAAAGTGTACTCCGTCAGCTTCTTGCTATAATCAGTATGGTCCTGCACAGATACAAACTGTCAGCAGTTTTTGTTTTATCACATGAGAAAAAGGTGCTATCACACCACCAGCTGTCACTTCACCTACCAGTTTAGCAACATCTGCATAATAATGTGATGTCAGTTGCTGGGTTATTTGTCCTGATAATCAAATCTGATAAGACCACACCAAATTAATCTTAATGATGATGCATATTAGTCCATTAGTTTTTGACTGTTAAACTCTTAATTTTTTGCATTCTGATTGTTGCTTATCTTGTGATGAATACTTAATGTTAAAGAAATAATTCGGTTTTGAAACAAAGTATTTAGGGGCTTGAACAGCCCCTCAGAGTTTTCACTTGTAAAACAAACTTTTTTATTTATTTTTATTTTTTTTTAGAGCAAACCAAAAAACCTCCCCAGTCCCCTGAAGGCAAAATGGGAAATGAAGCTCTAGCCTTTTCGATGGAAAACATGTTGGACTTGGACTTTGGTTTTAAAAACAAACCCAGCAACTGTCCGCCTGCAGCTCAACCCTGTCAGACACCAGGTAGACACCATATACAGTACACCGGGCAAATAACATACACAGCAATAGTAACATCTGAAGATGGTGTTTTTATTGTTTTTGTTAAGTAAGAGTACTCCACTGATTTAGTGTTTCATTCCTACAACACTGTCAGGCTCCTCGTGAAAACTTTAACAAAAGGACCAAAATCAGTGCAGCAGAAGTATTTTCTTAGTCCCGTGCACTATTCCTCCTGCTCAGTCCCTGGCTCCTAATGTGGCATTGAACCTCAAGCAAATGAGGAGTGGCCTCCAGGGGTCCGGTGTGCACTTATCTTCCTAATGCCACACCTCCAGATTTAAACAGATTTTTGATGTGTAAAATCTGTTGTGTTCTTCTATTTTTAAAGCTTTTTGATGTGTAAACTCTGTTGTGTTCTTCTATTTTTAAAGCTTTCATCTGTTATCTCTGAGTCTGCTGTCATACTGTCTTCTTGTCTTGTAGGCACATCTGACATTGTGCCAAACATAACATCTGCTGAAAAAAGAAATGAACTTCTCAAATGTAAGTGTTGTAGGTGCCACACCCACATTAGGTTATAGCAACCATGTTTGTTATTTGAATGGTCTTTCCTTCTGCTGTACCCCCTAGACGGCACAGTGCTCACTTTGGATCCAAGAACAGCCCACAGACGCATCCTACTGACTGAGGGCTTCACTAAGGCCTCTGTGTCCGATGAGCACGTAAACTACGCCGACTGCCCTGAACGGTTCGCCGTCTGCTCCCAGGTGCTCACCACCAAGGGTTTCTCTAGAGGACGCCACTACTGGGAAGTCCGACTGAGCAGCAGCAACTTCATTGGCATAGGCTTGGCTTATGGCAGCATTGACCGCAAAGGTCCCGCTAGTCGACTGGGCCGTAACGCCCAGTCCTGGTGTGTCGAGTGGTTTAATGTCAAGCTGTCAGCTTGGCATAACAGCAGTGAGACCGTGCTGGTCAATCCCAATCCAAAGCGTGTAGGAGTGCTTTTGGATTGTGAGGACGGTCTGGCCACGTTCTATAACGTGGCAGACAGGGCCTATCCCTTCCACTCTTTTGTGTTCCCTTTTGCTGAAACTGTGTATCCAGCTTTCTTGGTTTTCTCAAGTGGCTCATCCATTTCTTTGTGCAAACTGCAGGCATGAGGAGCATATGTACATAGATGTGCATGTGCAGGAATACACACACACATAGAATCAGTTCTTTGCACTCATACTAACAATAATAATGAAAAAGAATGCTTTAGTTGTAACTTTAATGAGCCCTAAACTGTCTTAAAATGTAAAGGTTTTTCACATCAAGAGGCTGGCCAGATAGACCCCGGTACTGTGTGCTGCAGTACACAGGCAGCTGGAAGCATCTTGACTGAAAAGGATGTTGAGCTAATGGCATTTCATAGCTAATGTGATTAGCTTGTTGCCATTAGTGCTGCCAGCTCTGATTTTTAGCAGCTGAATTAGTGGCTATGTGACCACAACAGTGATGCTTACAGAGCTTCGGCCTTTGCAGGTTTCTCAAAACTCAAGAGATTGTGATGCATTTGCCGAGCGATTTTTAACAGAACACACAACATACACTATAACATGTTTGCTGTGTGTGTGTGTCCTGCGCAGATAATCGATTTATATATGGTAGAATGGTTGGGAATGCAACTGACTGGATAAAGAAGTGAAGTTATCACTTCTAGACATGTCAGTACTATATTTTGATATATGAGAATATATGAGAAATGTACTATTTTGGAGTGTGGCGATAAAGGTTTTAGGGCTGGGTGATGTGACATTTGATCTCAGTAACTATTTTCATTCCAGTTGATATTGTCGTGTGTCATGATGTGATCATTTCTGCTGACCTGAAACCTAAAATTCCCTAATAGTAGCTTCAGATTATGAAAACGACTAGGAACTATAGAGGCTCTCAACAGCAAGAATAAATCTTAAATGTGGTCAGTATGAATCCTTGAAAGTCGCTCATGTACTGTAAACTCGTTTTCACTGTGAGTGCTCACTGATACTCGAAAGGTTTTCTCTGTTTATCCAACTTTTGATACCACAACAATAGCAGCCACTGTGTGTATAGCTAACTCGGCTCACCCTGTTTGTGCGTTTTGTTCTTCCCTGAAGAAGTGCCGCGTGATTGGCTAGAAATAGCTTTGTTTCTGTGATGTGTTTGGCTTTTCAGTGTGCATTGTAGACACTGTATTGAAGTGTCTTATTCTCACAGCAGGGACATTTTATTGAGATTGATGACTATATCACCCAGCCCTATATGCTCACTTCCTCACTGCTTTGACTGGTTCAGCTGATGAGAACAGAAGCCACATAGACTCTGTCTTATCAAGGTCTGACAGTCTCGCTCTCTCTCTCTCTTGCTTTTCTTTGGATTGTTTTTATGGCACTTTGGAGCCAGGAATTAATGGGGAGAAAGGAAAGGGGATGGCATGCTACTGTGGTGGCCAGATTTTAATCTGAGATGCCATACTTGCATGGTATGCCTCACGGAAATAAAATACTGTATCTGTGGCAGGCACATTAAACCAAGGAGCCATCAGAATGCTCTGCTGACTTTGCAGTGGCTGGTCTGGCGGTAATAAGTTAGTTTCACAGGGGCAAATTATTTGTTATACAAAGTTTACCCCAGTTTGTAAGATGTTTGCTGAAGCACACTGATGACATTAGATACAGTGGCTTTTCCCTGATGGGGCACCACTGCAGTGCATCAGTGCCTGGTCAGTGTGCATACTAATCAGGCTCTATCAGACTTACCATGAGGGTGCTCATCTTGCAGGTGATAAAAGATGTGAAACAACAAATCATACACGAGTGTCTAGAAGTAAATATCTGTCTACACAATATATTGTACATGAACAGTAAAGTTAGCAGTTTTAACATGGTTCTCTATACTAACTTCACTGCATGAGGTACAGAAGACAGTGGTGTTCAGAGTGACTTGACTGATAAGCTAGTAAAGGTTCGGACGTGACTGCTGCAGTGAATTCATTGGTTAACCATCGGGTAGATGAAGAAAGGCCCTGTGAGGCATTCAGCTAATGCACTACAAGTATAGACCTCTTTCTTTGTTTTAGCTTAGATGCTGGTAATTACAGGCGCCATGCAGCAGTGCACAGAACGTCTGAGCCTAACTGGTGATCTGCTGTTTTCACCGTTTGCTGTGGCTTCTCATCAGATTGTGGAGTTTTGGTTTGGGACGGAACCTTGTGAAAATATTGAGAGCTTTCCCATACCATGATGAGTGTCCAGATCTCGATATTGTGTTGACATTTATTTACTCTACCAAGCACAAATGACAGAATACTGGTGTCTATGCTTAGTTGGATCAGTGAAAAGTTAGGTGTATTTCATGTAACGACTGACTTGATTGCTTATTGCTTCAGTTCATACTAGATCGCCTGCAGACTCAAATGGCTCTCAGACCAATGTGTTTTTGTTCAGTGTTGCAACTGAAATGTGATTCATTGTTCTTTGCATCAAATATTTTCAAGCTTTGTGGGATCTTATCCAAACTGCTTCACTCTGTCAAAAAAAGAATGTCAAGTTCTAGTTGATGGACAGTAATATTCCAGGTTTGTGGTGGTGGTATTCATTCACACATTAAAAGTGAACATATTTATATGATTGTCTTAAAATTCAAAAGATTACTACTGTTTTGTTTAATTATAAAATCAGCTTTTATTTTTAATTAACTAATGATTGTTATGAATAAGTTTCT